GCCCCACCCAGCCCCAACTCCCCGCTTACTCCCCCATCCCCCTGCTCGCTTCTCCGGTGCCCTGCTCACTCCCTCAGCCGGTCCCAGCTCCCACTCACCCCCACACTCAGCCTCAGCATCCCCACACTCACCAGTAGTAGCAGCGGCTGCCAGGGCCACTCGGGGCCTCATGGCACAGCCCCCCTGTGCAGTGGGGGGCAGTCCCAGCCGCCTGGCACCCACACTGCCACTGCCACATCGCACAAGTGCAGCCCGGCTCGGTAGAGCACTGCACGGTGCTGCACACTCTCTGACAGCTCAGGATCACTGGAGCTATCACCCAGACCCTGAGCTGCAGCGCCCTGCCAAGCTGAGCCGTACCTGTGCGATGCAGCAGCGGCAGCACGTGTGCCAGGCAGCTGGGATTGAGCCCTGCTGCCCCCCACTAACCTGTGGGGCAGCTGTGCCATGAGGTGAGCAGGAGACTGGGTTAGGGTTAGGGTTACCTTCACCCCCACTCCCCCATCCCACCCAACACCTACTTACTTGGAAGGAAGCCTGGGTCCCTGCAGCCTGCATGCTGCTTTCCCTGCACAGGGGCCAGGGCCAACCATACAGGCTGACTACCAGAGCATCTCTGTGAAGGACCCGAGTCTCTGGTTGCCTCAGGGCATGATCTGGGACCATGCCCTGCCCCGCTTTTTTTGCCCAGGTTTTATTTTGGTACCTGGATGTCCAGTTCAATCCCTTCCAATGAAGGAAATTTCATACTTTCCCTGGGCAGTTAATTCCACTGTCTGTACTGTCAGAACAGTAGGAAGTTTTGTTCTTAGATTTAATTGACACATGCGGAAAAGCCTTTAGTTGTCTTCGGAGGTTTGATGGTCAGCTGTGGTAGACTTAATTTAATTGTAAAAGAAACTATCACGAAGGATGATTATCAAACATGGGCAGAGGGAACAGCTAAAGTACTACAAGTTACAAAAGCAAAGTAAACCTTTTATTTGCACACATTTTCTTATTTCTTTCCTCTTTAGCTGTGTGGTCTCTTTTGGGGAATGTCTTATTAAAGATAGTGTTAAATGACTGTTTCCCCCAAAAAAGATGGTTATGAACAGTCTTGAACTGTCAACATCCATCCCTGGCTTCCTGTGCATTCAGCTGGGACATAGATAGGACCTGTGGTTCTTTCCCAGGCAACCTGGGGCTGAGGTGGCACTTGGCTTCAGGCTGACTGGCAGATTGCCTGCCTCTTCTCCCTGACTGGCACCAGGCCAGCACACATCCCCCAGACTGGGGGGAAGGCAGTAGGGAGGACAAGACAAGGGGGCAGGGGTGGGGGCAGAAAGGGGTTTGGTGGAGATTGGAAATGCAGGATAGTGTGGGCAGAGCCTGAACAGGGATGGGGCAGAATGGTGGGACTGCCTCAGACACCCCCAAGTTTCTCCCTCAACACCATATGCTTTTGCCATTGCATCAACATCCCACATCTTTAGCAACTCCTGTTATTTGCCCCAGCACCCCACATCACCCACTTTCACTGGAAAGCCCCATGCTCATATACCCTCTGTATTTGCTGGCACTCAGCTGCCCTCAGCAGCCAACACTTTTTATCATCCTCAGCACCTCATCACCTTCAGCACCTCACACATTCACTTGCACTTGCAAATGGAAATGAGGAATGCACAATTACTGGCCACCTCTAAAAAGTGTAGTTTAAGCAACTATCAAGAAACTATCAGTTTCACGCTGGCAGAGAGGCAGGGACAGAAAATCATTCTCCAGGGCAGCATGAAGCTGCATCAACTGGAAGACTATCTTCTTTCTTCCTGCCATCCCCTGCCTCTTTCACTGCACACCTCCCGGCTTCTGTAATGAATGCAGTAGGGGTCCTGCAGATAACAGACTTCTTTATAGCCCTGCATGGATTGTTTCCCAGAGCACATCCCTTCTGTTCGCAGAATAATGCAGGGGTCCCAATAGAATAAAAAGATGATCAAAAATAGTTTGCTCAAGCAACTTTAGTTCTAGCATTTGCCTGATCTTGCAGCCTTAATAACATTCTTCTAACATAGTTCTTGTGTGAGAGAGAGTTAAGCAATATCTAAGGGATGGAGAGTTTGGCAAGGATGTTATGTGGGGAGTTAGCTAACAGCCTGCATGTATATGGGTTGTAAACACCAAAGGAAGAGAATTAATTAGGGTGGCACAAGGCAGCAGATCAGGGGGAAGCTCTCTCGATGGGAAGGTCCAAAGCCTGCGGCTTTGGCGAGTAGAGTTGGTGTCACTGAGCATTCTGTAGTAGGGTTTGTCCCTGCCCTGGCACAGGGATGGGTTGGGTTTCCTGATAGGGTTTTCTCTTCTCTAATTTTGATTGCTCTTTTATCAGGGTCTGTTGAATCTCTTGTTTTGTTTTGGGTATTAGTTAAATGCTACCATGACAAGTCCAGTTTGCAAGACAGTTTCTATGGCTCTGGCACAAAAATATTGCAATGTGTGCACACACCCAAGTTTTCATTCATTTTTTAAAAATGTCTCTTGTTCTGCTTGAGCCCTTTATGGCATGATATTTAGCCAGGGAGTAGCTGATGATTCTTCTAGTTGTAATGAGTGGAGAGACGTGCCAGGTTGGGACTGGTTTTACTGATTACGTCCATATGGGTGTGGCAGTGGTTACTCTTTTAAGCTTTGCATTTCAGTGGGTTTGCACAGATAAATCTAAGTGTAGCGGAGCTGAAACTGTAGCAATTTACACAGAGAAGAAGAAATGGCACAAAGCTCTCTCCCACCACCTGCCACCCAAACAGAACCTGTCATCCCCTCCGGAACAGCTGTGTTTAAAACAATACCATATGCTTTTATCCTACCAGAGCTAGTAAGTACACTGAACTTTGTTTTGATTTGTTTTAAAGGCTATATCAAATTGTGCATAAAAATGGAGTTGGCCCAAAAGGACATGGTGATAAAGAGATTTGGGAGGTAATTACTTTCTCTTGCAATTTGCATTTAAATCGTAAAGTCACTCTTTGATTTTGATTCAGCCAAAAAGTGTACAGAATCATCACATAAACCTATACAAGGCCTTGTAAGGTATTAAAAAACAAAGCTTTTTGTTCTTTTATGCTGCAGAAGCTTTCTTTTAATTATTTATTGTCAGTTATTAAAAATAAACTTTATTAACCATTTTCTTCTGAAGAACTGTATTTTCTCTCTTTTGTATGAAAACTTCCTGAAGGATCAAAGATTGTAAACAGACAGTCAGCTTTTGTAATATGCCAGAGGTCTTAGTTTTTTTTATATTCCTAAGTACAGAGTCCTGTAATGCATTCCAGTGTGATTACTGAGCTTAAGGCAATTGATGTTGTACTTTGATATACAATACATTAGTTAAAGTCTGTTCACAGTCATTACCTCTGTCACACTATATCTGCACCACCCATCCATACCTACTTATGCATTTATTTATCTGGCTTATTTGATAATCAAAACATCATATTCACCAATCCAACAGTTATACATAAGCTGCCATTCCCAGTACAAACTATTGTTTAGTCTTTATCACATCACCATTTCAATGGGTTTCATGCTGAATTATAGTGCCAAGAATATGATACTGATTAAATAGCAAGTAAATCCCAAAATACGTTTCATTTGATCATGTTAAATCTTTTTTTGAATACTTAATTTCTTTATTTTATATCTTTATTAGATTTATACGCTGCCCTCTCCAGAAAAGGCTCAGGGCTTTTATGGCTTCCTCTCAGGAAAGGTTGTGTTGTAGACCTTCAGTACAGAACAGGGACTGTGTCCATACTTTTAGAAGTATTTTATAAGATGAGTTGATAAGAATTTAAAACCACTGTCTATTTATCAGAGATATGAAGGTGGTTACAGCCCAAAACAAATCTAAGACTTTTCCCTAGATTGTCTCACCTTTTTCAATGATGTGTTTTAAGGTATCAGTAAACAAGTAGTGTGTTTTGCCAATTATTTTGCAGACAAAAAAGATGTTGCCTCTGAAGCTTTTGAACTTCACATGATATATTTTTAGGCTTATGTAGGAGTGTATGCTCCCTTGAGAACACCTAAGTTCCAGCACACATTCTTTCTACGGTGCATTCTTTCTATGCAATCGCAGAGTGCCTGCTCTCTCTCACATTGCTGTGACAGTAACTCAGCTGCAGTCAGTGAGCTGAATTCTTCTCTTGCAAAAGCTTCAAACTGTTGTAATGCCCATGTAGTTCTGTGTTGTTTTCACAGTTTAAACAGGTGTAAGAGCTGAACTGGCCCAGTGGAACTGAACTAATGTATTTGAGCTTAAACAGAAGCCCCCATAACATTATTATTATGTTTATTCTTTATGTACAAGAGGAGCCCATACAGGCACATCCTGGTACTTCCTTTTGGGTTCTCAATGTGTATCCATTCCAATGTATGAAAACTTCCTAATACCGCTGTTTCACATGCATTCAATATTAAATATGATATTGCAGGGTGAGCTAATATTAATGTTGAGAGTTGAAGTAGCCTGTTGCTCTCTGTTATAAGACCCTATTTTCAGTTTCTTATAACTTTGTCAGGCCATTTGAGCTGAAATTTCCATGGCTTGTATCAGCCTGTATTTTTGAATACTTTAGCTGAAAGAATTCAGCCCTTTTCTAGCAAAGGGTTAGGGGAAAATATCTTGTTTGGTCTGTGCTATGGGTGAGTGCCACTGTTCTGTTGAGAATCTCTAGTACCACCGTGTTTTAAAGCAGCATCTTGAAGTTTAGCATGGTGATTCCACTGTTGTGAGGAACATTGCTATTACCATAAAAATCTGCCTAAATTGGGCCAAGTTCTGATCCTCTGTGACAGATAGCAGGACGTACACATCTACAATACTGGCAGTTAGTGAATCCTCCACACCTGCCTTCTAGTAACACACCACACTCTCATTCAGAGAAGCTTTATTCTTGGCATGGTGTTTCTGGTGGAAAACTTCAAGTAAAGTCCAGCAGTGCTGGCTGTCTACATTTAAAACTATGACTTTTACTACACCGGATAATTTGAGAGCAATTCCAGAGTTAGAATCTCCCCTGCTTGAGGGATCTCATCTGTCTGGTATATCCACGTCTTCTCTGCTTCACGAGCCTCACATGTTAATTATGAAAATTTCTTTGAGATGATTCATTCCTACTCAGTAGCAGCTAGTTAATTTGGCAGCTAAATTGTGCAGAGTCCATCACAGATAATGCTCTGTCCCCTTGCAGTTCTATGCCATCTGCATTGCATGCATGCTGTTATCATTAGTGAAAGGTCATGTCATGGGCGACTGGTGCCACCTTAGTTGGGGGGTGGGGCACATGCCCCCCAAGTGATCAGTCAGCAGTTGGGGGGGGTGTCCCCCACGGCCAATCTCACAAACCAGGGGGTCCCCCCATGGCTGATTGCACCAACTGGGAAGTGGCCACAGCGCTCCTGAAAGTGGCTGCAGCACTTTATCCAGGTGCTCCCACTCCCTGGCTGGCACTCACAGGGGAGGCATCAGTGCTTCCGCCTGCCCGTTGCCTAAGCAGGCAGTGTTGCCCTTTCAGGGGGTACACCAGCATCCCCGTGCTCCCCCTACGCGTTGCCACTGGGTCATGGCGCAGCCCAGGCTGGAAGCACAGATGAGTCTCCAGTGAGTAGAGGGCAATGTGTCAGGCAGAGGGATCAGAAAATGAAGTGATGTTCTTGGTACAAATTGGTTCAGAGACAGTGAGAGAGATAGGCAGACCTAGGCAGAAGTAGAGGGCTGTGTTAGCCTGAGGGAGGAGTACAAAAAGTTAGTCTGAAAAGGAAGAGGTGATAGAGGAATCCTGGATAATTCCAGTAGGTAGCTAGAACTTCAGGCAAGGGTTTGGGATGGGCTGTAGGCTGCATGTTGTGTTCAGATTCAAAATTAAATTTTGAATCCATTAAAGTTTTTCTCAGATTTGATATTTTTCATGCAGTCTCCCATGGCCACTGCTGGGGCTCACAGTCCACAGGGAAGCTATGCTGCACTGTGCAACTGGTTCCTCTAGGGGAGTTTGCCCCTCTCCTCTGGACTTGGCTTGCTGTGCAGCCTCTCTCTCTGCAGCCCTTACCCTCTGCCTTGGGTAGGCCACACCTTTTGCTTTATGAGTCCAGCAGAGGCTCCTGTAGTCACAGAGCAGCTAAGAGCAGCCTATGCACTGAGCAGAGGAAGCAGGCCTGTGATATCCAGGCCAGCCTGATTGTCTTCTGAGGTGCTGGATGAGGGCAGAGAGAAATGTGTTTTATGAAGAGGCAACATAGAGCTAATTATGTGCAACACTTTTATCATGTCTTCCAGTCAGGCCACTTCTTAAAGACTCAATCAGCAAAGATCTTCACCACCCCTGTGAGGTGAGCAACTGCTATTACTGTCATCTGACAGTTGCAGAGCTGTGGCCCAGAAAGATGAAGCGACTGGCCCAAGGTGGCACAGAGGTCTGTAGTGGAGATGGGCACTGAACACTCATGTCTCTTACCCCTGTGCTTTTAGCTGCTAATGGTGCTCCCTCTCTTAGAAAGCTAGGGTCAAACTTCTGGTAAGCACCTAATGGGAATGCTTTAGGAGAGGGAATACAGTCTGTGAGGAATGCTATGCTGGTCTAAACAGAAAGGGGTTATGTCTGCTTCAGCACTGAAAAGCAGGGAGGCAGAATTGCTTCTGTTCAATGCAAGAAGGTGTAAAGACTGTCAGCAGCTAATATTGCTGAGAGAGAAGTTGAATGAAAAGCACAAAGGGAGGTGCTGAATGAACAGGCAGTTAAGTGAACCCATGTCAGTTCTTGTGCACCCGTGCCTTGCTCAGCACCACAGCATCCCAGCACTTTTTTGCACTGATGAGCTCTGGAAGGAGAGATGATATGACTGCCCTCTGGAGCTTCAGAGCACCCAGAGTCATAGCTGCTCTCCTCTGAAAATTGCATTGATAGCTGTGCTGTGTCATTTGGCGATTACAGGCCAATCAAGGGGGATGGACACCTCAGACAGCTCCTGGAAAAATGAGAAATCTGTTATGCTAGCAGCAGAGAGGATATTTGGACTATGAAGACCTGTGGAGAAAGCCAATGACAGAGGGAGGTCCCGTCTCTGATGGCTTTATTGTATGCTCTTTGAAAACCAAGATCACCTGTACCAGTGTCTCAGTAACGCTTAATGTTTTAGGAGGCTGTGTCTGTCAGTGTCTCCAAGGCATAATTGCTGATAGCTGAGGCATGTTCCCTTCCCATGACCTGAATGTATAGAGGTAACCTGGGACAGTCCAGGAAAGGAAGAGCAGCCAACAGGAGAAACACAAACCCTGTAACATTTTCCTCCCTGCTTCCTTATCATTCCATTGAAAAAGCAGCCAGACATGCTGCTGAAAGGGTGGCTTAGAAGGGACGTTCCCCACCCCCCATTTCCTGTATTATGAGGCTTTAAATTCCATAGGTCTATAGTCATGGTAAGCTACCTGAGCTCTGAATGTAATACATTGTGAAGCTGAACTAGATTTTGCTCTTCTCCTGCTTTCTCTGCCAAACCTGTCTGATTGCTCCAAGGGGCTGGGCCACCACCTCCCCTCACTTTGGTGCTGGCTCAAGCAAAAACATCACTGTGGTTTTGGGAGTGATAAGTTCACCGTCTGATTTTCCTTAGCACTGCTGTTGCTGTGCAGGGCAGGTCTGGAAACACCAGCAAGAAGTATGCATTTGTTTCATGCTTCTGATCCGAGTAATTTTGCCAGCAATGAAGACCTGAAGAGAGGGATGCATAACCGAAACAACATATCTGTGAAATGCTGTTTTACTACAAAAGGCAGGTGCATTGTGAATATACATGCTCAACATGGGTGGAATTCTG